GTGTGTGTGTGTGTGTGTGTGTGTGTGTGTGTGTGTGTGTGTGTGTGATTTGTAGGTGTATGTGGAGGTCAGATGACATGCCTCAGGAGTCCTTCTTCCATGGGCTCTGGGGATTGAACTTCACCCACTTTACCTACCAAACCAGCTCACTGGTCCTATGTAAGCTATTTCTGATGTGTGGGAAAAACCCTCTAGCTTTGAGAAGGGCACAATTTGATTCCTTCCACAGCTTCGTGCCTACTGTATACACAGACCCTCTTTGGGCTGCCACACTCTATCCAGATAGAGTGAGATCAAGGAGTTTTCCCATGGTGTTCCACTTTGAAAATCAGGTCACGTGCCTAGGCTGGGCCACCTAGGCTTCCGCCTTCTAACGCTCCCTGGGGTGCTAGCCCCCTGAATCTTGAGGTTCTCTGGCTAAATGTGAATACACTAGCAAGAAGAAAAGGGGGGAAGCTTTAGATATAGCATTGGGATCCAGGATCAAGCAAAGAACCTTTGTCAGGAGCACTGTCGAGAAGAAAGATGCTTCTGTGGTCTCCAAAATACCTCCCCTTGCTGCTTATTAGACAGAGCCACCGAGTGATGAAGAATGTTTCCTCCCAAAGAGACAAAGACAAGCTGTGTGTTGAGAGCAGGTTTTTGTCCCTACAGATACAACTTCCTGGGGTGAGGAACCACGGGCACATCACTCATAGCTGTTGTCACACCAGACACTTCCCCAATGGACAGAGATTGTTTGAAAGATGATGGGTAAAGGAGCTGAAATTAGAAAAGAGGAACAAAAAGTTTCAAGGTACATTTGACACTCCTGTAGAGCCGGACTGGATCTGATGTCATGTTTTACTGAATTGGGCTGACACACTGAAGAAAGCAATGAAAACAAGACTGTGTTTCAGGGAATGTGGCCATCTTGGTGCGTCACAAGAGTCCACGGGCTGCCTGCAGAGAAGAGATAATGAAGTTGGCTTTGTCCTTCCAGAGTCCATTGGCGCCAAGCACAGTGTAGATGCATAACTACTTCACAGGCTGGAAACGTCTGGAAGGGCTGGCCAAGTCAGCTGGTTCAGTCTACCATCTAAAGTTGTTGCCAGAGGCATCTTTGACTTTTGTTAGACCAGGCCTGTTGGCTCCTGGTTCTGAATGATGTTCTAGATTGCAGGCCAGGCCACATACATTGACTGCTCTTGTTTTAGACAGTTCTTGGAAGAGAATGGAAGATTTCTGAATGGCCGTGTTGTGTCCCTATACCCCTCAACTCCATGAGGAGAATGACACTGAAGAATGTGAAGAAATAGAGCACATGAATTCTAGGAAGAGTCTACTAGGGCAGGGATCTAGTCTGGAGGATCCCTGGGAAGACTGCCGTCATCCAACAGTAGAAGGAGGGAGGAATAAGCTAGTAAACTGGAATGGACTCCTTATAACCTTGTCTAAATCCTGGCAAGCCATATGGACATAGAAGACAAGGGGCTTTTGCAGGCTTTTTTTTTTTCTCAACCTCTGACTTCAGCTTATGACAGTATGTGCCTGTGTGGCTGGTAGTCCTTAAACTCCCAGCTTCTGTTCTTTCCCGGAGTTGCTAATAATAAAGACATCTTCCACGGCCCTAATCCTGGGCACCCAATGTGCCAATAAGGAAGAGGCCCAGCCTCCCTGAGGTGTAAGGGGGTGGTCCTATAGACTCAACAGCTTAGCTGTCCACAGGGGCTTGAGTGTCTGGAGAGCAGAGAAGGACAGAAGAATGGGCATCCCAGAACTTTCCTGGACTGTCTGCTTATCTATGTAGGAAGATTTGCAGAGCTGATGCCTGTTGGTGGGGAAGACTACTACCTGCTCCTGGCTCAGGGAAGATAACGAGAGACAGGCAAGGAGGAGAAAAATGAAGCGGAAACAGAGTGCAAATCTAGGGTGCTGCAGACTGGCTTCTTGGTGATGCTGGGTCCTGTAAGACTCTCTCACTGGAAGATCACTGATGCCACTGTCACATCATAGGTGCCTTTCGAGGTTTCCCTATCACTGGTGAGACTTGTCTATCCCCGTGCAGGCACTTAAACCAGGGTTGGGGCATCTACCAAGTTCACCAAGGAAGTGCTGAAGTGTCTCACAGTGTGTCCTGCTAAGGAGAGCTCTCCTTTTGAGCTGTCCCCCAAGGCTCTAGCGTATAGAACTTCATCCCCAAGAAGTTTCAGTTTATGAAGAGCTTTATGAAGTCACTACGCTTATCCCAAACCAAGAAGAGTGTTGCTACCAATAGTCGCTGCCTTATAGCTCCCACTGTGGAGTCTTAGCTGCCCAAGTGGGAACTGAAGTCCCCCAGGTCCATTGCCACATCTGGGGGCCTGATACCTGGTTCTCTCTGACACAATTTTCCTGGAAATCTGAATCCTCAGCTCAGTCCTTTGCTCACACCCGTAGATTCTGGTCTCCCTGCCCCCAACCCCAGCCCAGGCCCATCTGGCAGCAGTGCCAGCTTCCTGCCCGCACCTGCTTAGAAACTTTGAGCCACGTCTTTTTGAGTCGGAAGATTGCACTGCGGTTCATGGAGGAGGTGATCTCCAGCACGGCATTGTAGTTGTGGAGGCAGCGGCATATGTCAGCCACAGCTACCCACTTCTCAATGGTGCTCACCCTTGCATTGATATCCTCGTTTCGGATAATTTCTGAAGCAATCAAGTTACTGATCTTTAAGCCAACGCAATAAGACAAGAAAAAAGTAAGAGGAATAAATATTGTAAAGATAATATCATTGTTATTTACAGGCACAATTTCTTGTTAAAAGTCCCTGAAACAATAAACTGGAAAACTATGAAAACAAACGCTTAATACAAAAAGGAGATATTTTCCTATAAATTAGCAATTGTCAATTTAAAAACACAATGAAGCTGAGTATGGTGGCATGTACCTGTAATTCCAGCACTTGGGAGGGAGAGGCAGGAGGATGCCCAAGTCTGAGGCCAGCATGAGCTACATGTAAAACTTTATCCCAATAAAATAAAAACAAACAAGCAAAAAATATAATGACAAAGATTTCATGACCAAAATAACAAGAAATCCATGAATTCCTTGGAATTTAAGTTAATGAAAACAACATAGGTTGTATGGGAGAAAAAAGTTACCAAAGGATGTCAAAGGTTTGAATAAAAGAGAAAGAGATCATATTACCAAATGGTAGTATAAGTACCATGTGTTCATAACCCTGAATTCAATGTAAACCAATTAAACACCCAGTGGAAATTGCTTTGGAACCTAACGGAGTGATTCAAAAGTTCATCTGGAAGAATAAGCAGTTATTACAAGCCCAGCTCTGAGGGAAACTTCCCATCATTTCCCCTTCTGGAAGAGGACACACACTTGGTCTCACATATACAGTAGGCCAGACCTCCCTGGAATCCTGCACCCTGCCAACAATCACAATCACACAAACAAATCACATGGAGTTAGAATTGGTGTGTTTAACAGGGAGGAAGCTGGGGCCCAGACATTGGGGAACTCGAACTGCAAGGTACTGGGAAGGCAGGAAACATCCACTTCCTTGCACATTGCCTTGAATCTATAATATTTTAAAAATAAAAAGTAATGAAGTATAATACCTAAATACACATGTATGAAAGCATCACAATGAAACTCATTTCTTTGTATGCTAGTCAAAAATAAATTCTAAAAAATCTTTTAAAGGATAAAAGACATGATGACTTGTTATTTATAGTGGCATTTCATTTGCATTTTCATAAATAAAGCTTGTCTGAAGATCAGAAAAAGTAAAACAGCCACGCTGGCCAGTCTTACAGACCAGGCAGCAGTGACACCATCTTTAATCCCAGTAGCCACACTAGGTTGCCATAGAAACCAGGCAGTAGTGTTGCACGCCCCCAATCCCAGAACTAGAGAGGATTATTAAACGGGAGGAGACAGCTCTCAGTCTCAATCTCTTTCTTCGGTTTCCTGGAGGCAGGATCGCCATTTCCAGACTGAGGTCAAAGTAAGAGCCAGTGACTGTCGGCTTTGCTTTTCTGGTCTTCAAGTTGAACCCCAATATCTATCTCTGAGTTTTTATGAATTGTGCTTCAGTTATTGAAAGAATAAAGGTGTTAAGAGGTTGTTACATATAAACAAGGAGAGCTGTACCACCAAGAAACCTTCTCTGAAGTACTTGCTGTGGCATGGATGCCAAAGAGGGATGTTGAATGTGAACTTTCCTACACCTGTTTATGATTTTGGGTGTACGTGTGCTTGCCCGAGGGTGGGTGACACTCCATAGTGCACGTGAGAACAACTTGAGGGAAGGGTTCTCTCCTTCCCCTATGTGGGTTCCAGGCATGAAACTTGGGTTATCAGTCTTGGCGACAGGTTTTTCCTACTGATAACATCTTATTGCCTGGGACGTTTAACTTTAGTATGTATTTATGGAGCACTAACTATTGAAGTTAGGGGGAATGATAACATAAAAGCATGCATGTGATTTACCAGTAATTAAGCTGAAATAGTTACATCTCTCCATATAGACAATACTGGAATAATAAACTTTAAAAAAAGAATGTAAAAAAGAAAAGAACAACTTTGAAAAAAAAAAAAGAACAGGTCAGTGAGATCCTCTACAGGATGGAGAAACAAAACACATACTTGCTAATTTATTGTACAAAAAGCGCTGCTGTGCTATGCACCAGAGACGGGCAGCACAAGAAAGAAAAATTGGGCACCTAGCTGTTTTACATGCCGTGGCTGCCTCGGGTTTGTATCGGAGGTACATCAGAAACTATGTAATTCTCATTTACCATATCAACAGACTAAACGAGGGAGGAACCACATGATCGTCTCAGTAGCTGCAGGACAAGAGTGGAGAAAAGTCAACGTGTGAGTTGGAGAGACGAGTCAGTGGTGAAAAGCACCTGCTGCTGGCTCAAAGGACCTGGATTCAGTTCTCCACACCCATGTCATGTTGCTCCCAACCACCTGTAACTATAATTCTATATTGATTCTAGAGGGTCTGATGCCCTCTCTGGCCTCTGTGGGCACCTTCATGCACGTGGCACACATAAATATACTCAGGCAGGTACACGAAGACATTAAAAAGAAATAAAAAATTGAAAAGAAAAAAGTCAATATGCATTTGTGGCAAAAATTATTGGATTCACACATATACATTAAAATAAGAGAAAATTAAAAAGAAAAAAAGTCAGCATTCATGGTAAAAATGATTTGTATTCAAGGAATAGAACGGAATTTTTCTAACTTTGTCTTCTCTTACATAGGGGAACATTAAAAGCTTTTCCTGCAAAAGTAAGAACAAGGCACACTGTCTCCATCTCCATTTCACATTGTCCCGGAGAGAGCTGGGGTGACCGAGGCACCAGCGTTCATATGTGGTGGGTGGGCAGTTCCTTCAGCTGTATGCCTGTCTCACCCAAGTCTGGTCCTGGTGCTGGAGACCCTAGCCAGTGTCAATCAACAAGATAAAGACATTAGAGGCAAAGGGCTAGATAGCAGAAAATTGAGCTGTACCAGAGATTAAGATACCCCCTGTTGCAGAGCCACACATTTTGAATCTGAACAGGGTGACGGGTGTGGGCAGAGAGATGCCAACTGCCAAACAGTCACGGGGTAGCCTCCAGAGGGCCGTGTGAGCTCAAAGGGGGACTTTGCTGCTGTGTCACATGGGCAGCGCCATTTAACCTCTTTCAGCTTCAGGTTCTTCCTCTAGGGAGTCAATGTCATGGGTTAAATGGGGTGGAAAGTCACTCCCACAGTGGTACACAGTATCAATGAATACACATCCTGTTTCTGGCTTGTTCTTACTCCATTCTGGGTGCACAGAGTGCCAGGGTCAGAAGGCCCCTCCCTCCCTGGCACCGAAATACTGCAACTTTCTCATTTCTTCCTGGCTGACAAGGGCCCTTCTGGATAATGTTTGTTGGGGGCCCATTTTTTTTTTTTCTGGAGTTGCTATGTGATACTGTCTGTGGTCAGGCAGTCAGGACAGGTGACTTCATGTGCTGCCACTTCTGACCATACAAAGGCTCTTTATTTGTCTTGATTAAATTCAGAGAATGATGATGTTGTGCGCAAAAGCTGTTGGGGCTGGCACAGGCTAGGAAAAAATGAGTCCCCTGGGTGCAGAGATTGGAGCACCATATGGGAAAATTGCTGGGAGAGTTTTTTTTTTTCCAGTGCTGGAGACTCAGCTCAGGACCCTGTATGTGCTAGGTAAGCACCTAAGCAAGGAGCTACAACCCCCCCCCCCCCCCCCCCCGTTTTTTTTTCTTTCTGAGATAAGGCATTGTTATGTAGACTTGGTTGGCCTTGAACTTGTAACCCTTTTGCTGAAGGTTGGGATTATAGGTGCCTCCACAGGAGTATTTTTTTCTCTTATATAGTCATCCTCCATCATGCAGCAATGAAAAACACATGTGCTACCTTAGGCCAATCAGCAGACCCTTCCGGAACCTCGACATCTCAGGATCTTGAATGTCAGAGATGCCCTCATCTCCTAGGGGTGGTGTAAGCTTTAAATGAGATTGCTGTGCATAGAGAGCATGGTCTTAGGCAGTTATGGGAAATAGTAGAGGCTACTTTTATTCAAGAACTGTGCAAGTGCCCCTTGCAGCCATGACCCTTCCCAGGAAGACTCTGAAGCATGTTTGGCTCCCAGTTCTTTGAGAAGAGATCCTGGGAACATTGTATGCCTGTGTGTATGTCCCTGTGTGAGTGCGCTTATGTAAGCATGCATGTGAAAGTGTGTGTGTGTGTGTGTGTGTGTGATGCACCAATCTGATCTTAGTGTCCTGATCAGAGTCAGTTCAAGCCCTTTTTGTTGAACACTCAGACCAGTTTTCTGCTATAGTGTTTGGTCCCCTCTTAACCACTCTCCATCAGGAAAGTCAATGGTAGAGGGAGTTCTGGGAGATGGGGACTGAATGGGCCGGATGCAGGGCCATCCCAAGCCTGCCTAGGGGCAGCCTCAGGCCCTTGGCTCAAACCTAGCCTTTTTAATTAGCAACTTTAGGGTCTCTAGTCTCTTCAGTGCTAAGATGTTGCTCCACCTTACCAATCATGAAAAGCACTATTGTGGCTGCGACATTATGTCATCATGAAGATGAAACTTTTAGAAAACACTTTGGAAAGTTAGAAGACTTTGAATACTTTGAGTAATGTTCACATCCGAGGGAAGAAGTCTGCCATTTCCAGACTCAGTTTGATTGTTTCTAAGGCTGAGACAAGGTGAGAAACTAAGAAACACAGCAAGAACACTTTTGGTCTTTTCTGTCCAACCCTTTCTTCTTTCCATCCTTTCTGTGGCTGGTCTGCCATGACCCTACTCTTAGGAGGAGCTTCTTGTAGTGATCATAGGCCTGAGAAAGCTCCTCAGGAGCCATTGCTGGCTGATGGCTCTGGATGATTGTTCTTTTATGTTCACCCATTAACAGACGAAGGGACAAAGAACGAGGTGAAGTGGGCTGGCTCTGGTTACACAGCTGAAGGTGGGGTGCAGCAGAAGGTGTGGTGCCAGCCTGCCCTCAACTCAGCCCCTTGGTGGTCCTGCCAATGAAAAGCCTGGCAGAAAGTCACTGTCCATGCATGCGTACTCACGTCATTGAAATGCTTGGTGGTTTTTATGATATAAGGTGTTCTTTCGTTTTTCTCTACCTTCATCCAGCCTTGTCCGAAGAACTCCCTGCAGGGAGGAAAGGGAAACCAGAGCAGATGAAATTAGCTCTGCCTTGCTCATTCAGTGTTGGGTCACTTCTTTGCTTTTCGAGGTGATCATTTACAGGTGAGCAGCCCTTGGCAGAGGCCCAGAGAGGAAGGAACCTTGAGCTCAAGCCCAGCTCTGTGCTGCACCCTCGGTCTTAGATGCTTTACTCATCTGTGAAATGGGAGTGTAACAGTAACACTTTCCTCATGGGACCATCATGAGACTAAAAGGGGGTGAGATATGAGATGGCTGAGCATTGCTGTGAAGCGGGTAGGCACACCAGGTTTTGCTATGGTTCTTGTTTCTACATTTTAGTGACTTGGTCGTGGCTGGTCTTCAGAACGAAGGTGATAGATAAACTCTGTTGTCAGAGTGTGTGCTTAGCATGCACAAGGTTCCAGGTTCAGTTCTCAACACTATACAAAAGCAGTGGGTCATAAGAGGATAAATGAACCAAAAACCAGTTTCAAGCAGTGTGTTCTGGCACAGGGAACCTAATGGGGGAAGCCACAGACTGCCTATGCTTCTAAGAGATTAGTAGAGGTGCTTGGGTGAAGTCCCACAGACTGATGCAGCCATGGGGAGGTGACACCAGTGAACATCTGTCCTGGTCTTGCTTCTGGCAGGAGGTAGGAGTAACACTGCTTCCACATCCTGGGGGTTCCTAAGTATCCGGGCCAACCCTGTCATTAGGTGAGGCTGTACTCATGCCTGTGGGGCTGTGAATACGCCCCTGGAAAGCAAAATAAATGCACAGAATGTTCTAGTAATGTGTGGTCTTAGACATGGTGATGCCAATGTTGGAAAATAATTATGTAATAATTATTGGAAATTCAGAGAAATGCCTTGGTTGGGAGAATGCTTAGTTTCAGCTATAAACGTAAAAAAGAAGACCACCTTAACTTACAATGCACTGCTAAGGAGCACCACACACATGAACAGTGTTTGCAAATAAATGCTGGTTATTAGATGAAGAGAGACATAAAGCAGGGATTACCAGGGAGACTAAAGACAGGGCAGGGAAAACAGCAGCAGGCCCTAGGCTTCATTTAAATCAAGAGTCATTCTGAAATTTGTTCCTAGGGCTTGTACACACACACACACACACACACACACACACACACACACACACAACTCACACACAAATACGCACACATATGAACACACATAAACACATGCGTACGCATTCATGCCTGTGTGAAAATAAACATGTATTCTTTCTGCACCCCCAGAAAGAGGAATCTCCTGGAAAAGTGTGTATATGGGGGGGGGGCTGCACTTATAGGAGACAGGTAAAGAAAGAGACAGGGGAGGAGCATTCTTTCCAAGTTTTGGAGAGTTCACACAGAGTCAGGGATATGCTGAGGAGGGAGGAGGAGGGAGAGGAGGCAGGCAGCCACACCCACTTACTCATAAGGAATCTTCTTGAAGACGAGGTGATCCAGCAGGGTCAGCTGCTCTGCTATCTCCAGGGCTGAGTGGTTTTCGAAGGGTTCAGCTTTCACGCCCTCTGCCTGGGGGAGCAAGGTCAGAGTCAGGCCACTGGAGTGATGCTCTGGGCTTCTGAAACTTTTCTGAGCATCTCCTCTCAGTTGTGGTGGGTGGATGGGATACCAGCGAGGAAGCTGGGCTCCACTGCTTGTTGCTCCCTGTTCGGATGTGTGTTCTGTGCTTCCGGAGGACTCTCCCCGGAGGAATCGGTCACCTACCCTGTAGGGAGCCACCACTATACACGTAGGAAGGAGGCCAAAGCCTGCCCAAGTCACTCAGGTGGAAAGAGGCTGCCTGGATTGCAAACTTGGATACCTGATCCCAACTGTGATGAGCCACTCCCTCTGGGTTCTTCCTGGTCCTAGGTGGGCTCAACACAATTTTTCTTTAAAACTCATTAGTAGGTGTGGGTTGGGGGTTCCGGGGGTGTGATTTGCTCCTGGGGCGGTGTTCCTGTCTTGTGAGCAGAAGACAACTCTCAGCTACCATGTCTCTGACCTATGAGGTTCCCTCATGGATATGCAGGATCTGTCACCTGAGCCTCCACCACGTGACCAGGGAACACCCTTAGGGAAAGATTAGTCAGGGGCAGAGGTACCCATAGCAGAAGTTAGATGAAGGTGAGCCACAGGGAAGCAAGGGCAGCTGTGCTGGTGCTGGTAGGAGACTAGGTACCCTGTGGAGCGAGTCAGATTAAAGGGCTCCTGTGCACTGCGGCCGGCTGGATCATACAAAAGAAGAGGGGAGGCCTATGAGGTAGAGACGGGCTTAGAGTTGGGCCTGCCAACCACTCATGACCTGTTAATTCTTATACTACTCCACGGCACCCAGGAGTTCCAGCAGCTGGCTGAGTGCTCAAGTGGCCTGTCTGCATGGATCGAAAGGAAAGTGGGGTTCACCCACACCCAGAAAACATGCCATTCCTTGAGGCCAAGTGCTCTGCTATTCTCCTCCTCCCATTTCTTTTCTCTTCCTTTCTTTTCTTTCTTTCTTTCTTTCTTTCTTTCTTTCTTTCTTTCTTTCTTTCTTTCTCTCTTCCTCTCTTTCTCTCTTTTCTTTTCTTTTCCTTTCTTTTCTTTCTTTCTTTCTTTCTTTCTTTCTTTCTTTCTCTCTTTCTCTCTTTCCTTTTCCTTTCCTTTCTTTCTTTCTTTCTTTCTTTCTCTCTTTCTCTCTTTCTCTTTTCTTTTCTTTTTTTTTTTTGCAATCAGTGAGGTCTGAATTGCTAGGCTGGTAGCAGACACTGGAGATACGCAGACCTGCAAACGTGATTCAGACTCAGGGGGTTCACAGAATGAGGACTCAGGGGACAATAGATTCGGTGTGGTAGCTGCTCAGTCATGGCTGTTTCCTGGCAGAGTCACCAGCGCAGAGAACAGAAGCCCAGGTGCTGGAGTGTGGGTGTCGGGAGCCTTGGGGGAGGAAGAGCTCTCAGGATGTAGGCGTGAGGGCAGCAGGGGCTGGGTTGCAGGGCAGGAACCTCGTGGTGGCATTTCTTCTGCATGCTCTTGGGGATGGGCCTTCTGAAGGTGGACAGCTCAGTTACAGTCACTCCTGAGGGTCCTATGAAGATGTCTCAGGGTTGGGTCCAGGATGGCAGGGCTGTGGGGGTCACAGAGGAGTCCAGGAGGCCGCACTGAGGTGTCACCCAGTGTCCCAGTGGCTATAGGTACTGTGTAGGGACAGGTGACCTTTTCCTCACTTCTGATTTTGTCCAGGACTTGAAGTATCTTTGGAAGTTGAGGTCTGAGTGACAACTTCTGTCACCTTCCAGAAGGCTTGTGAGACGAGCCAACTTTCTCCTTTCCATTGAAGTCACTAGCCTCGGTTAAGTTGGACCTAACACTCAAAGGCTCTAGGGACCTGTCAGGGATTGGGGTGTACAGAAACGGGGCTCAATAACCTTTTGTTCTAGAAGAGCCCCAAGGCATTTACAAAGGAAAAGGGCTCTTGTACTCATGAAGTGTAAACATTCCAGCAAGGCCTCTGTTGGCAAACAAGAACCCAGGTATTCTCTACCATGGGGAAGTGGTGGGGGAGACTAGTCCTGGGCCCAGAGGGGTCATGGAGTGATGAGACTGGGGAGGACGTTGCCTTGGTGATCAGGTGCAATGGTCATCCTGCTCACCATCTGTGTGATCTCTTCTAGTGTGATCTGGTTGTCGCCTGGGTCCTCCTGGGTCAGAGTCCTAGGGAGAGGAAAGCATGTGAGCCCCAGACCACCTCTGGCCCTCACCTGGCTGTCTTCTGCAACCTCTGACCTTTGCTTACTGCCTTTACCCAGCGGCACTACTTCTCTCTGCTTCCCTCGTCCCCGTCTGCTTTACTGACTTGTTCTTGATCCTTCTGTATGGGGAAGGTCTCTTCCCTAGCCTCTGAGCTTCCTACATACTGTTATGTATGTATGTGCCAGGACCCAGACAGACACAGCAGGGACCTCTGAGTCAGGCTGGGACCGTGGCCAGCACTGCTGTGTGCACATGGAATGATGGGACACACGCAGTGACGTGTGTCAGACGTGGAGGAGCAGAGTGAACAGGAGATGTTTCTAGATGGGATGCCCCTTAAGCCTGACTACGTCAGAGGACCCAAAGATAAGGTGACACAGTAGAATGGAGGCCATAGAACCCAAGATGGGATAGTGTTGAGTGGGAAGTGAAGAAGGGTGTGGTCAAGCTGACTGGAGTGAATATGGGAACGTATGAGAATACGGGTGGGTAGGGCGGTAGGCTCTTGACCAAGGGCCAGACCTGGGTATGCATAGGGAAGCAGAGAGAAGTCTTTAGGGATTGGCTGAAGGGAGTGGAACTTTAGAGATCAGCCCTGGGAGTCAATGCCAGACCAGGAACTGGACACTTCGAGAACTGGCTTTCTCCAGGATCCACAGCAGAAAAAAAGTCCTGCTCGACACAGCCCTCCCAGTCCCCAGGAGAACCTGGAGGGAGACACCAACGGCCTAGGACTGCTTGTGTGCAGGAGTATGCCTGTAGGCACGCCACTTAGCTTCTTTCTCTCGTCTTCCTTTTTCTCCCCCCCCCACCCCCCGCCACATGCATGTACACAGAATGTGTTGTAGATGAGGCAGGGCCAGTGGTATCCTAGGACTGTGGTGGAGTGATGAGGTCTGTACAGGGCCTTGGGATGGGAGAGGGGCTGGAGACTCGGGCTATAAGTAGAAAATGCCGCAGCTGGATTTGGGAGAAAGTCTGAGGCAGATGCAATGCCTGGGGTGTAGAGGTGGCTTGCTGGACATGAGGAGGAGAAACCTCCCCAGCCTCTGGAGAAGCCAGCCTAAGTGGAAGGATGAGAGGAGGTAGGGTGCCAGTGTGTCTATGCCATTTACCTTCGGAGAACCTGCAGAAGCCACATGCACCACCTTGCTTGAGCCTTACTACACCCTTGAAGCCAGCATTGTTCACTAATTTTAAATAGAAGAAAATGAGATTTGGCTACGGGCTATTTTCTGGTCAACAACGAGTCACTGCCCGAGGTAGCTCAGATGTTAGACTGTCTGAACTCTGACCTCTGCTAGAAGAGGCAGGTTGTGGATCGTGCTCAGCACAGGTCTGAGGACCGTCAATTTAACTGAGTTTAAGCTGACAGACATTCCTTGAATGCCTGTGAACATCGTTCAGTGGAACTCTCTGTAGTGAGGAGATGGGCTGGCCCGTGCTGCCTAAACTTGGAGCCTCTAGTCAACTGAAGCTCTGGGAACTGAGGGACACTATTTTATTGTATTCAATTTTAGATATTTGATATTTAAAACGTTATATGTAGCTAGTACCTATCACATTGGATAGCACATGCTGGACAGGTATTAACAGTCATGGGCATACATGGATAACTAGGACATGTCCCCACCCCCAACAGGGTCTCATGTAGTCTAGGCTGGCTTACTATGTAGCCAAGGATGATTTTGAACTTCTCTGACTGCTGCCTTCCAAGTGTTGAGATTACAGCCTGAGAGACAGAAACACAGGCACAGTTTATATGGCACTAGAGATTGAAACCAGGCCTATGCAAGTACTCTACCAACCGAACTGCATGCCTAGCTCCATCAAGGTCTGGTGAGGGATGGGGAGAAAAGAGTAAGTACACAGAACACCCATGCTTGACTCTAGAGCAAGGGACATGGCTCCCAGATATCTGGGGCTTACATCTACCCTGATACACCCCTGCCCAGTCTGGCTACTATGGAGGTATAGGGCAGGACTCTGTCTTAGAAGGGCATCCTAAGCAGGAGGACCATGCTGCTCTTACCTGATGATGTTGGCTGCTGCTTTTCGTTCCTGTGTCAGAAGCTCTGGATCATGCATGACCTCTTCCAGGAAGCTGATCACCTTGCTTTTGAGCTTACTGTTGGTTTCAAAGTCCTGTAGGAAGATGGGCAGGTAGCTCTGGTCACCAGACTTTCCTGCAGTACTCTGAGGCCAGGCTGAAGGAGGGAGTTTCTATTTCCGCCCATTGTGGTTGCCTGCTTTTCTTGTCACTACTTCCAGCAAGGCCACAAGTGGGGCTTCAAGCCTCCTAGGCACAAGGCACTGGGGCAAGACCAAGACCACCCCTAGCTGTTGTACCCCTAAGTCAGGGAGGTCCTACTTGAACTCAACCTGCAGGCAGGTGGCCAAACAGGCCCCTTGTCTTCCTGATGGTCCTTGTTTCCTTTCCCTGGGGAATCTGAGCAGGTCCTCCTGGCAAAATGGGATCCCCCTCCTGCCATTGACCCATTACACTGTCTGCTATCACTTCCAGCCACTGGGAAGCAATTGTTCCTGGAGCTCGGTCCCACCCACCTGAGAGTGCTTGGAGACCCAGTGGCGGAGCACATTCAGCACACGGTTGGTGGCAGCTCTGCGGATCACAAACTCCTTGTCGCCATTTCTCTGGTCAGGGGGAAACCCTGGCAGTGCTAGCAGTAGAGGGAGAGAAGGACAGGAGGGGGAGCTTGCTTAGCAGACAGTTTGTCAGAGGGCCTTGGGGGGGGGACACTTGACAACTGGGTTCAGACCCAAATGAGAGGCCATGAAGCCTCAGGGGATGCAGTTCTTCAGCATACCTGCTCCATTTAGAAGGTTCAGGAAGCTTCCACCAATGAGAGTATACAGGGTACCCGAGACCAGAGCTCTCCAGGACCCCCCTTCTAACCTTTGGTGTGGAACCGTTGCTGTGGAAGTGGGTGCCGAGGGCTCTCTCGGTTGGCGTTCTTTGCTGTGAGTAGAATTTGGCCAAGGATCAAAGGGGACTGGGGAGGGAGAATGGGACTCCAGGATGGCAGGGCAGCACTGGCAGGGCCTGCAGGAAGAGTGAGAGGAAGTGGGTAGCAACAGGTCAAAGTGGATAGACGGGAGGTAAATCTAGGGGCGGGATGTGTGTGTGTGTGTGTGTGTGTGTGTGTGTGTGTGTGTGTGTGTGTATGTAAGCTAAGGCCATTCTTCTAGGGGTTGAGGTTGACAAGCAACCCAGCTCCATTGATGATAGGACATGGCAACAGGCTGCACCCTAAACACACAGTGGCCCTGGCTACAGGTCTGTGTGTGCAGAGCCTCGATGGTGCCAAGAAAAGGGCTCCATTCCATCCTCCACGAGAGGAAGGATCAACAGGGTAAACAACAGAGAGCAAGACTTCATGTCCAGTGAGTCAGTATAGCTTGCTGGAGCAGGGAGCTCTCCAGAGGAACTGTGGAAGCACCCACCGTGGTATCTGCAATGCGCATCAAACACCTGAGGAAGGGAAGGTCTCATGCCTGTGGCTGTCACCCCTGCCACAGAACCATGGAGAAGGGGGGTACCCATATGCAGAGACATTCACACACCTGTGGTGGCCAAGGACATCCTGCGATACTGATACTTCTCCTTGCTTGGAGTGCCCTCGTTGGCTCCCGCCGTGGCTATGGCAAAGGCAGATGAAGCTGAGAGGGCGCTGCGGTTATTGTCCAGTTCACGACATGAGGTCATCACAACTCCATTGTTGAAGTTGAAAAGTGGGAATTCTGTGGAGAGCAGGGAGATGACCCTCAGCCACTCCTCAGTCCTTTAGGCTGGCAGACATTCAGGCAGCCCAAGCTCAAGAGTAGCAGCTCTTCCTCTATGCCCAGGGATGGAAAGGGGTTCAGGGGGTGCTGTGTGTGTGTGTGAGGCTCTGTTCCCTATAAGAGTCATGCCACAATAGCCCTAGAGAATATTATTGCAGGGAAGGAAGGCTCAGCTAGCCTCTTGCTGCTTAGAAGACTGGGAGCCACGTTTCTCTTTCTAAGACCTGTCAATTCTTGGCTTTGCTGGACCCAGGCCTTCTTGAGGAAAGCATCATGGGCTGTCTGCTTTCAGGGTACTGGGAACTGACACACAACCCACTTAAAGTCTAATGGTCACAATTTATATTGACAGGGTTATGGGCATGGTGGAACTGAGATGACCTTGCACTTGAGGACCTGCTACCTGAGTTGAAATTCTCCTGCCTCTCACTGACTGTGCAACTATGGGAAAGTTCCTTCAACTCTGGAGCTTCAGGGATCTCCTCTGGACAGTACGGACGTGTCCAAAGGTGATTATAAAAAGGAGATTGCAGAAGAAAGTTCAAAAAGCTGTTTAAACATGGAGACCTACTGATGGTAATGATGACAATTAGATGTGGGGTCAACTCCAGAACCCTTTGGCTTCATCTTAGGCTCATCTAGAGCCTGAGGGACAACTGACTTGCTTTAAAGACTCTAAGCTAGCTTCTTCCCTTCCCTTCCCTTCCCTTTCCTTCTCCTCCCCTTTCCTCCCTTTCCTTCCCTCCCTTCCCTTCCTTCTTTAAGATATCTCCTTCCCTTCTTTCTGAGATCAACTCTCTCTCTTTTTGCCCCCCCCCCCCCCCGAGATAGTATTTCACCCTCTCTCTGTCTGTCTGCCTCTGACTGCTTCTCTGTCGAAGACAGCTCTCAGTAAGCTGCCCAGGCTGTACTGAACTTTCTCTAGGCCAGGCTGGTTTGGCACTCCCCATTTCCCTGCCTCAGCCTCTCAATTGTCTCAGGTGCGGGGATTACAGGCATCACTCACACCTGGGCCTCAATGCCTGTTTCTAAAAATGGGCTCTCCCGGGATCTACTGCTGTGTAAGAAGTCAGGCAGGGCTGCAGGGTGCTCAGGTACCTTTCCTCTAAAGCCAGACTGCCTTGGGTCTTACTTGTTGCTCCCCAGACTTGGAAAGCAGGGGATTCTGGGACTTGAGCTGCCCCATGTTTGGGAAACAAGAGCTTGGGAATAGTAGGGTTCCTTCCTTGGGAGGCAGAAAGACTGCCCTGGTCATTGAGGAGGCCCCTGAGTTCTTTTCTACACTTGGGTGTCCCACAGTCCTCCTGGGGGTACAGTAGTCTTTATGGGGACCAGCAGGTAGGTAGGCTGTTCAAGAATCCTGCAGAATTGTGAGTCTGAAACGTGAGTGGGCAATGCCACCATTTTCTGGAGCCTTCCCTTGCCTGCGGTGGTGGGGATAGAACACAGAACCATTATCTACATCAGGGAGCACTCTACCACTGAGCCACACCCCAGCTTTGCTTTCTTATCTGAAAGATAAGAGTGATCTAGATTCTCTTCATGTATATCGGAAGGATGAAAGAGCCCACCACACAGCCAGGAAACATGTCTGACTTGAGCTCCCCCACACAACAGTGCTGCCGGGTCACTGTTCGGCAATGCATCCCTGCCTAAGTTGGGGTGACTTCACAAAGTCAAGATCAGGGCCTGCTCAGCCAATGTCTCAGCAACCACATCTCTCCTATCCCTAGGGGTTATGAAATAGAATAGTCACTGCCCTCAGGAGTCACTCATAAAACATAAGGCAGTACCAGCGTGCCTCCCCTTGACCTGACCTGCAGCCCTCTCCTCCCCTGGACATCCACCTGCAGCTCCATGCTGAGGAATGGTACCTGAAGAGTTCTTGCTTTTGACTGATTTTGGTGTTGAGGGAGATTTCGTAGGTGACGCCTCAGTGTCGCCCTCGTCACTCTGGTTCTGGTCCACATCAGACTCTTCCTTCACGGGTACGTCTGAGCCTGGGGGAACAGAAAGACTCATGCTCTTCTCAATTATTCATTCATTGGAAAACTCACATCTCTAATTCATCAAAGGAAAGCAGAGTCAATTACAAGGGCCCGGCACCCGGATGAAGACCGCTGAACAGTTTAGTTGTTGCAGGCTTATCATAACCTTCCACATGCTCATCCGTGGTGTGGCTCTCCTAGATGGCTTATTCTTTACCAGGACTTCCACAAACGTAATGGGCACACCTAGGTTCCTGGTAGAACGCAGGCTGTGGGGCCTAGTGGTAGAGTGCTCGCTTAGCCTAGCATGCTTAAGGTCTTGGGTTCAATTGTCAGTGGTAGGTACAAGGGACAGGCTGTAACACAGCTCCTCTCTACATGGAACAAGGATGTCTTTCTTTCCTTTTTTTTTTTAAATTTTTTTTTGGATAGGATCTCACGCAGCGTAGGGCTAGCCTTGAACTTGCTATGTAGCTAATGATGACCTTGAATTTCTGATTTTCTTTCTCTCCTTTTATTTTTGGTTTTTCGAGGCAGGATTTCTCTGTAGCTTTGGAGCCTGTCCTGGAACTTGCTCTGTAGACCAGGCTGGCCTAGAACTCACAGACACCCTCCTGCCTCTGCTTCCTGAGTGCTGGGATTAAAGGCATGCGCCACCACTGCCCAGCGAACTTCTGATTCTCTTGCACCTGCCCTCTGAGTCCTGGGACTACAGGCTTGCACCAACCATAGCAGATGTACCCAGTATAGATAGTGTATATTGTACTGGGTATTGAATATGCAACTCTGTGCTAGGCAGGCACCCTTTCTCTCTCGTTTACTTGAAAATAGATTTCTCATACAATATATTCTGACTTAGGTTTCTGTCTAACTCCTCTCATATCCTCCCTATCTCCTTACCCACCCAAGTCACACCCTTTTTACCTCTCTCTCATTAGGAAACAGATATATTAATATTAATAAAAACAGCAACAACAATCAGAACAGGAAAAAGCAAACAGAAAAAGGGCCAAAGAAAACAAACATCTAGATTTTGAGACACATACACCAGAACACAGAAATTCCATAAAAGCACAGAATTGAAAAACATAATATACAAACCCAGACATAATGGGATAGACATTAGGAGACAAAAGAAAACTCCAAAAATGCCACTGAGTTCATTTTGTGTTGGCCATCTACTACTGGTGGTGAAAACTTGTTTTTGCTTTGCAGGTCATTGCTATCAATTGGAGACAGCAGCACTCTTATCAACTGAACTACATCTCCAGATCCAGTTATCTGCACTTCTAACAAGCTTCTGGTGATGCTCATGTGGCTGAGCAATGGACCACAAGGGCAGTCTTGTTTTCTATCTCATCTCTTGCTTCTGGTCTGAAATAAGTATTAGTTTCCTAATCATGGGAGAGTCAGGATCTACATTCTCTCTGGACAGTGTGAGTTTTTGCTAAAAGAGGTATGTGCGTGTGTGCATGCGCATGCAGGTGTGTGCGTGGGTACTGGTGTGTGGAAGTCAGACGTTGACATTTTGTGCCTTCCTTAATTGTGCTCCACTTAGTCTTTTTGAGACAGGGTGCCTCACTGAACCAGTAGCTCACTAATTCAGTTAGAGTAGCTGTCAAAAGAGCCTGACGGAGCTAGCTTCCTGGCTCTGCCTGCTTGCCCTGGGACTATAAGTGTGTATCTCTGAGCCTGGCTTTCTCATGTAGGTAATAGGGATTGAGCACAGTCTTCATGCTTGTGTGGCAAACACCTTACCAACTGAGCCATCCTTTGTGCTGAACAGAATTCTGAGCCTCACACCGTCTAAGATCCAATACATTACACACACTGGATGCTATTTAGGTTCTTTGGCAAGCTGTTATCTTGGTTATCAACTTTTAGCTGTCTGAACCACCACACGTTACCTATTTGTAGCATATACTATGTCCCTTAATGATAGAACCTTGTGTGGCTTCTCTTCTTTCCAATTATGCCTCCTTTTCAAAGGCTTGTGATCAAGTATGTGTATATACACACATGTACACACACAGACACATGTACAGACACAGGCACACATAGACAGACACACGGACACACACATGAACATGGACACACACACACGCACACACACACGCACGCACACACACACACACAGCAAGACTATGCTGGTGGCTCCCAGCATATGGTCTGATCTGAGCTAACACAGAATCAATGGGATTCTAGAATGTCTAGGAGAGGCTGTAGATAGGAAGGCGCTGGCTGCTCCAGCAGCATCGTGGGCCACTGCCACTACCTCTGTGCTCCAGATGTGCTGAGCTGTTCCCAGAGCATACAACGCCTTTCTTATTCTTCAACATTTTACATTTCATTATTTTTCTAGAATGTCCTCTCTTTCTGTTGGTGAGCGTGGAATCCAATGGCTCCATTAGGAAGCCTGCTCCAGCTCTCCTGATGGTGCCCCTAGTCTATCCTTTGCCCTCTTCTAACACCTTTCAAATGTGACTATTCAGTGTTCACTCTGGTCCCCAAGCTAGGCTGCAAACCCTGACAGCAGGAGTCAATGGCATGACTTGAACAGAGCCATGCAGGAGGCTACTGTGGTAGGGAGAATGAAGGCACAAATCTGAGAACTCTGGCCAAGACTCATATAAAGTGTGATGATATCATGGGAGCTTCTGCTGGCCTCATCTTGGCAACCTATCTCCTCTCCGTGGCTACTGGTCTGCACTGCCTGTATCCTGTACAACAGGGGCCACCCAGCCCAGCCAAGTCTTACTGTGAGGAGTGCTAATGGGGTGGGTGGTTCTGCTCATGTATCTACTCACTCTGCTTGTTAAGGGCTGAGGGCTCCTCAGGCTTCTCTGGAGTTGCAGTTGGAGCTGGAGCTGGGGTGGAGGTCTGGGTTGGGGTCCGGGTTGGGGTTGGAGCTGGGGTTGGGGTCTGGATTGGGGTACGGATTGGGGTTGAGGCTGGAGTTGTGATCTGGGTTGGGGTCGGGGTTGGGGTCTGGGTTGGGGTCCGGGTTGGGGTTTGGGCTGGGGTTGGGGTCTGGATTGGGGTCCGGGTTGGGGTTGGGGCTGGGTTTGAGGTCAGATTTGGGGTCTGGGTTGGGGTTGCGGCTGGGGTAGGGGTCTGAGTTGGGGTATGGGTTGGGGTTGCGGTTGGGTTTGAGGTCAGGGTGGGGGTCTGGGTTGGGGTAGGAGTTGGGGTAGCGGTTGAGGCAGGAGTCGTGGTAGTGGTTGTGGTTGTAGTTGTATCAGTTTCGTCAGGAGTCTTATTGGTGAAACTGCTGGTCATGCAGAGCTTGCTGGTGTCCAACGTAGACTTGCTGATATCCAGTGTGGACTTGCTGGTGTCCAGCGTGGACTTGCTGATGTCCAGCGTGGACTTGCTGATGTCCAGCGTGGACTTGCTGATGTCCAGCGTGGACTTGCTGAAGTCCAGCGTGGACTTGCTGATGTCCAGCGTGGACTTGCTAAAGTCCATCGTGGACTTGCTGGTGTCCAGCCTGGACTTGCTGATGTCCAGTGTGGACTTGCTGAAGTCCAGCGTAGACTTGCTGATATCCACTGCAGACTTGCTAAAGTCCATCGTGGATTTGCTGGTGTCCAGCGTGGACTTGCTGAAGTCCAGCGTGGACTTGCTGAAGTCCAGTGTAGACTTGCTGAAGGGAGACATGGGTGAGTGCATGCTGGTAATGCCATTGGAGCTGCAGCTGAGTGCTGCCAGGTCCAGTGCCTTGCCGCCTGTGATGATGGGAATGTTGAGGGACAACTTCCGTCGGCGGCTTGGGGATGATGTATTGATAGACAAGGGTGGTGGGGAGGAGAACTTGCGCGTGGCACGAGGTGACTTGGGGGGCTCTCCGTACAGAAGCTTGTTGTTCTGGCCACTGGCAAACAGGAGCTCCAGTGACCTGTGGGGAGGGAAGGCAAGAAGGAGAAAAAAATGTTGGTGTAGGCTTGCCCACCTGGCCTGCTTCCTACAGGACTCAGGGGGACTGACAGCAGTGTCTCCCTTATGTACATGATCCCTGATGCTAGGGGTGGGTCCCTGCTGTGGGAACTCCTTCAGCCAATGACCTTTAAGATTACAGCCCACACACACACACAAAAAATTACAGCCCACTTGGGCATAATCTGTTATAATATAAATGCAGTCATAAACCTCGCCCCCTCCCCAATTCAGTTCCTGTTCCCTGTTCATGCAGAGGACTGTGATCTGGGAGTCTACCCCTGAATAAAGAACCGTTTATTATACTCCATTCTGAACTAGTGTGGGATTACTTTATAACTTTTTATTCATCTTCAGGTCCCTGCACAGGGTTGTGATTGAAGGGCTTGGGGACAAATGTCTATATCCACAGGCTTTGAATAGGCTGGGCAATTGGTGGTGGTGGGGTACTTCTATCTGATGTTGCTACCTCTGTCTCCTTCCTGAGGTACTAAGCCTCCTGACGGTGGCCTTTGTAGAGCCTTTATCCATCCACACGAGGTTGCTCTTAGCTGCAAGTTCTGCCCTTGTCTACACAGTAGTCCTAAAGGATGCTTTGTGGCCGAGGAAGCAGAGGCTTAGGGAAAGATAGGTGACTCTTCTAACGCCTCTGGCTCTAAACCCAGTGTCTATGCCATGGCACCTGAGAGGTTTTGTGTATCCACTGGGTTTCAAGGGGGTGGAAGTGCAGTGCCTTAGGAATCCGAAGGCCAGGCCTGCATTGAAGGCCATCTTTGTGGAAAGTCTCTTGACTTTTCTGGGCCCTACCTTATGCACTGGAGAGCCGAGCTTCAGTGAGGAAGGCACCGAAAGATGGCCTCAAAGCCAAGGTGGCTAAAGGATCCTGTCCACTGAGGCTTGTACCTTGAACATACTGAAGGGCGCCCCTTCTCTTCAAAGCATGATGGGTATACATAGAGCAGGAGTACCTTCCTGCCTAGCTCTCTTCCTTCCATCCATCTTTCTGTAAAGGCCAGGCCTCTAGGGCCTCTGGACTTTGGGGAAGGGAGGGAGAGCAGAGTGATCCCTCCCTACAGAATGGAGTCCTCCCAAACAGACCTCTAACAGGTTGTATGACTGAGGATGACCTGGTGTTGCTGCTTTTCCAACTCATAGCTTCAGAGCCTTAGGGTGATAGGCTTGTAACACCATGTCCAGTTTCCTTTGGAAAAAAGCAAACTTGGAATGTACTCCCTCTGTGGTCTGGGAATGCTGTGTGCCACCACACCTTGCTTTGGGGACAGCCTCTTCTCCTGGGATCTCTTTGGCCTGGAAGATCTGTAGGTTTGGGAGGGGGTGCACTTACTAGGGAATGGTGCTGATGGGAGTCCTTTAAAAATATTTTCACATATAATTGGTTAATGTATTTGTGTTTGTGTGTGTGTGTGTGTGTGTGTGTGTGAGTGAGTGTGTGTGTGTGTGTGTGTGTGTGCGTGTGTGCCTCTGTGTGTGTGTGTCTGGGAATGTTCAGGTCATAGAGTGAACGTGGAAGTCAGAGGACATCTTGCAGGAGTGAGTTCCCTCCTTCCACCACGCTGGTTCCAGTTGAGCTTAGGTTGTCAGGCTTGGCAGTGGGCACCTTTACCCACTAAGTCATCTTGCCAGAACCCAGGGATTCTTGTAGAAGCTGAGGGCACGGGGCATGTATGCACCTGGCAGGGATGGCACTGATGGGCTTCTTGTAGATGGTGATTAGCTTGTCTAGGACCACCACAGCAGTGGTGAAGACACGGTAGGAGTGCAGGAAGGTGTTGAGGAAGTCGATACTCAGGAAGCGGAGGTCTGTCAGCCGCTCCAACAGCCGCTCCACACTGGCGTACCGGATCTGCAGCACTTTACAGGAATTCATGGTTTTGCTGAAGCGGATGTCAACATCATCACAATATAAGGAGGCATCGGACCTGTGGAGGGAGGGAGCAGGAAGAGGTGACATGTGTGCAAATGCCAACATCACCACAACGTAAGGAGGCGTTGGACCTGAGGACCAAGGGAGCAGGAAAAGATGACGTATGTCTAAGGTTGTTTGGGTCCATGGCATCTCTTCCCCAGATGAGGGCTGGGACTACCCCTAAGGCACCCTGCACCTCCCAGTCAGAAACAGTTGTACTAAATGGTCAAGGGAGACTTCAGAAGGATAACACCAAGAAACAGCCGTAACTCTTTCCCCCAGGTTTCTAAAACCCTGCAGTATACAGCACCAACGCCCAAAAGTACTGGAAAAATATAACAAGCTTTTAAAAATGTGTTTCCAAATTCCCAGCACACAAGAATTCTATTCACATAAAATATGCATATTTATGTCTACAACAGCGTTGTTCATAATAGAGCAGACTGGAAACAACCCCGGGATGTCTACCAGCAGATGAATGGACAAATCAAATACGGTGTGATGTTACTCAACCATGAAAAGAAATGAAACACCGACACACACTACAACATGAATAAGCCTTGAAGACATTACGCTAACTGAAACAGGCCATTCATGCCATTGTTCCGTTTATAAAAGAGCACAGTACAGACAGATCAGTAACAGGAAGCAGTTTGGTGGATGGCAGGTGCTGGGTGGGTGCATTGGGACCAACTGTCCACATGTGTACCATCTCTTTCCTTGCCGAGTGGTGACGGTAGTGTCTTAGAAACAGGAGCTGGAGTCAGCTTTACAACATAGTGAGTACTCTTAAATCTACTGACTTGTACCTTTTAAAGTAGAGAAATTTATGCTATATGAATGATCTCAATTAAAAAAATAAGTCGGGCCAGGTGAGGTGGTGCCCACTCAGCACTTGGGAAGCAGTGAGGCAGATCTCTCTGAATTCAAGGTCAGCCTGGTCTACATAGTAAGTTTTAGACCAATCAGGGCTACATAGTGGGGAAGAAAAAGGTAATATGGGGTGGGGGGAAAGATAAAAGGGAAATTCCGGCATTCCGAGTGAAGAGAAACTAGGAGATCAGCTGCTGTTTGGGCTGCCTCGAGGTGTCTCTGGAGTTTGGAGACTAGTCTCTTGGTTTTTCACAGAAACCTGGTCTACTGGATGGGAAGCTGAATGACATCATTGTGTCAATTTGGGACCCATGAAGGAAGGCTATGCATTTCAGAGAGGGACCGTGAGGGAAAAGCCTGCCCTCCAGCAGAAGGGGATGGCAGGTCTTTCTATCCTGGTCTTCAAGTCCAGTGTACTACTGTTGTGACTTCTGCTCTTCAGACTAAGTGCAAAGTGCTGTCCCCGATGTAATACCCCGGGGACACTCTAGAACGAGCCCTTTCCACCAGGCTCTATGTAGTCATAGGCAAGTCCTCAGTGACCGTTCCAAATGGAGAACGAAGCAAGGACTTAAGCCCCTCGAGATAACAAGTAGCTGAATGTGATGCCCCCCATATGTTTTTCCTCTTCCCTTCCCCATCTCTTCCCTTCCCTTTCTAGTTTGGGCAGTGTTGCCTTGTGTAGAGTTTAAAATCTTTCTGTCTCAAGTGCTGGGGCGATGTTGTGTGCCCTGCTTGACTCCCCCCAACCTCCTGCCACCCTGCCCCCGCCTTTACTTTTTTACTAAATGTGAAAATTCTACCTTTGGCTACAAACTAACCAACAGTTATTTAAAAAACCTCCTGGACTAGAAAGTCTTCAGTGCAGTTGGCCTATTGAGACCACCCTTCTCCTAGCTCCCAAAGCTATTACTGACGAAGTTGGCTTTGTGAAGCTTCTCATCATGAACTTCTAACTTACAGGTCAGTGTGAACGGACAGTTCAGGGGCGTATGTCTCTTCCATTTCCCTAGCTTTTGTAGCATAGGGCATTCCACCTTGACCTCACCTTGGTTACTCCTTGAGCATTAGTGTCAGCTGGACTTTTAATCCACTGATGGAAAAAGAAGCCTTCAGCGCCTGTCCGGTAACCTGAGTTGGACTCACTGATGCCTTTGCCTCTGGCCAAGGTGATCACTGTATCGGTGGGAATCTGTCCCAGGCAAGACCTACCTATAGCGTTTTCTAGGACCTTCCAAAACTCCTCTCTGGGTTGCCAGGATGTGAGGATAAGAGTCATCGCCCAGGCCACAAGGGGATAGAGAACTGAGCAAGGATCTGTGCATCGAAACTGTGTATGAACCCAGCCTCAATGGTGTCTTCTGGGCTTGGTGGGAATCAACAGCCCCAAAGGCTGTTATACCCTGCGGTGCTAACTGGATGCTGAACCACATCAGACTCAATTTAAGAGCAACGGGTTGGGGAATATTGAAGCTTAAGCAATGACTCTAAAGCTGGGTTTTGTTGTTCATAATCATGTTTCTTTTCTAACTTTGACAACTGAAAAATCTGAGAGTGAGAGGCAGTCTTTACTTGATTTTCCTTCCTTCCTTATTTTCATTGGCCTGCGTTCCCTATACACTAGAGGCCGTGTGCCTGCATTCCCTATCCACTGGAGGCCGTGTGCCTGTGTTCCCTACACACTGGAGTCTGTATGCCTGCGTTCCCTATCCACTGGAGGCCGTGTGCCTGTGTTCCCTACACACTGGAGTCTGTATGCCTGCGTTCCCTATACACTGGAGGCCGTATCTTTGTAGTTGTTTTCACTGGCAGCTAGCAGCTGCCTTAGACCTCTGTGTTTCTGGTGGGCTGTTACTAGAGGAGTATAAATGAACAAATAAATATAAGCTCCTATCGAATGGATAAGCTTTAAAATCTTATCATAATGAAGTCCCAGAGAAAAAAGAAGCCACAGGAAGAGGAGTTCAGCCCGTCCTGACCGCTGAGGGGAGAACAGGCTTATGCCAGCAATGGTTACTTTTCTCACTGCTGTGACTGCAGTGACTTAAGGGAACAGATATTTTCAGGCCACCAGAGGGTAGGGACTAGGTGGTGGCATGAATCAAGGCACTGCTGGCTTACATCTGCATGAATCCAGAAGCGGGACCTGGTTATAACTCTCAAGCTCTTTTGCCCTCTAGGGATTCATTTCCACCAACTGGGTTCAGCCCTTTAAAGGCTCTACAGTTTCTCAGAATCGTGTTACCAGTGGGGTACTAAGTATTGAAACACATGAAATAACGGGGGCACCACATTCAAATCATAATGGCATCCTTGGGGCCAGTGTGAAGGACACAGCTTGATGCCAGCTTGGCTCTTGTTTCCTAGACAACGCCTATTCTCCACTTCTCAGTCTCCTCATCTGTGAACTGGAAAAAAAGGCCGTCCACAAAGCTTTTGTGAGAGTGGAATGGATGAACCAATTAAGAGGCCTGGCATGGTACGTGGAACACAGGAAGCTGTAAGGGAGCCCTGGCTCTTAATTCACTGGCTCTGCAGAGGGTGTTTCCCACTCCAGGATACAGACAGAGCTCTGAGGAACTGAGCAAATGGACTCATTTTCTCATGTGTACCATGTCTAAGGCAATTTTTTTGAAGAGCTGGTGATTTGCTGGGCAAGTAGAGTACTTGCCAAGCGTGTATAAGGCCCCAAATTCTTTCTCTGGAAATATGGGGATTTGAAATATCAATAAATCTTTTCCCAAGAGTCTCCAATGAGCAGGGGGTGAATCTAGAAGGTGGAGAGATGGAATGGCAGATTAGGGTAACCTGTAGACAAATGGCAGTCCTCGTAACTGGCTATCCACTGCCCTTTTGTCTCTCTTTTCCCTACCTACATCAGCCTTCCCTGCTGCATGGACCAGAGGGGAAGCTGGATAAACGGGTTCAACCCATAGTATGTAGACTAAACCACAAGGCTTCCAGAGACAACAGCACAAAAGAGACCATCTCAGAGAAGCAGAGGGAAGGCCTTCTGACTCAGCTTCGCTGTAGGACATGGATCATTTTAGAAACCTGCTGGCACCAAGTCCCCAGCTCAGTCCATTGCCTTTTTCCAGCGGATACCATTGTACCCAAGTACTCTACCAGAGTGCCACCAAGGGGGTGGGGCTGATACCCTTGGGGTACAACCGTACCACCTACAGAATAAAACCCAATAGCTTGCCAGATGCAGCGTTGCTAACTGAGTCCCGCATCCCTCACCAGCCCCATCGTTCACCACATGGTATAGACCGCCATGTTAGTTAATAAAGTCTGACTGTGCTATATAAAGCTCAGAGAAATGAGAAGTGAAATTAAGCATAGGAATTTCTCCTAAACGTAGCAGATACACATATAAACTACAGCATCTGTATAATGAAAGCAGGAAAAGGATCAACAGACCACAAGGGCGCCAAATCCATGGTACGCTTAAGATACGTGAGGCACAAGTGATGTTCAATATCCATGAAGTCTTAAGGCAGACACCTACATGCAGACGACATCACAGCTGTTGGTTAGGTTAACCAGCATGCTCAGCTGTGGTCGGTCATGTGTGCTGTTTTACATCTGAGAGAACGCAAGTGTGTACCACAAACCCAAGAGCCTTCTAAAGGCTGGGCCTTCTCATCTAACTTTCACTCTAGTCTATGCCGCAGGGAAGGCTGACACAACATGGGGGAGGAGCAGGGCAGGAGAGCACTCTGTAGCTCAGCTAATGTGGGGCTGGCACGTGACCCTAAGCTACCCTAACCTCCTGTTCCTTTTCTGCACTCCCATCCATGCTTCTTAATATGTGTTCCAAATGGACTCCCCAAACTCTAGGGTAAAACATCTTAATCTATCCCTGGCCTGTCTGCTCCAAAGCCTATGGGATAATTGGTCTAATCAGGTGTCTGGAGAACAGAGCTTGCTCGGGTTACTGCCTGCGTGCCAGTCTAAGTCCCATAACCCCAATGGGATTATTCATCATTTCACAAACACATTGCACTGGCCTGCCTTTGTGCAAACACTCACATTGTTCCTTTTCCCCAGAATACCTTTCGGTTTAATAAACTGCAACTGGCCTTCAATATCAGCTCTGGGTTCCTTTTTCAGGGAAGCCTTGTTCAACTGTGCCAAGTGAATCAGGCCCATATCCATCCCTTGCACCCTTCTGGTACCACACAAACTGTTGGTTGGCACCCACCTGACTCTCCATAGTGGCATTTCACTGGGTCTCCTTGGGTCACTGGACAGCTCTTCCTACTGGTCCCATTGCTATCGCCTCTGGTCATTCAGCAATGCAGTGGTGAAGGGAATGATCGCTGACCAGTTTCAGAGAAGTTTAAGGGACCTGGCACACCTGAAGCTGTCTCTGCTTACCCCCATGGTGTAGGAGAACTTGCAGTAATAAAATTGATGGTATAAAGGATTTACTAATAAACTTGCTTAGGAGACATTAAGTCACACAAAGTAGAATTAAGCTAACTAAGGCGCAGTGCCTCCCCAATACCTAAAAGATAAGTGTTACACTAACCAGACTTGCTAGAGATAATTCAAGTTTAGCATTGCTGGGAAAACACTTCAATCGATGTTTGCTCACCAGGATTGACATGCAATGAGGCTTCATTCCTATCTCAAAGAAGACACCCCCAACTTATAATCAGGCATTAAGTTCAGACCTAAGGAGCAACTCAGGTGGGCAACACAAGTGACAACTCTCATTATGACCCAGTACACCATAAAACATAATTCTGACAGGTGAGCAAGATGACCCCAGTCAGCAACTATTCAAAAAGAACAATACTGTTGCACTGGAGAAATAATCGTGGCGATATCTTTGCTGTGTAAATCTCCCATCTGCCCAAACAGCCAGACTTGCAGTCTCCTGTCTCTGTTTAAATTGTCAAAGTGTAACCTCCAATTAGGACCTAAAAGAGACTTGAGGATGACTGTGCATTTGGAATGAATAAACTAAAAGCATCTTTCAGATACTCAGTCCTGTGGTACGCACTGTCCCAGGGCACTCACTGGGAACAGCAGAGATTCATATCAAATAGCAGCCATAGTCATCTAGACACAGGCCAGTGGGCAGTGGGGTCCTGGGAGGTATCCGGTGACGTTATCAGGTTTGGGAATCACAGGTTGAGATGGCAGCCAGACAGCCAATGTGCTGCAGGGTTGGGGGAGGAGGGAAAGGGAGGCGTCCTGTCAGGTGGGAGTCACTGGAGGAAAGATGCTTCAGTCAGATTATGGAAGCTGGGCTACAAGGGACCATTGACTGGGAAAACTGTGTCCAGCAGGACACTATCCCCTTGTCCTGAGGGACTACTCAAATAGATGCACTGGCCCGGCAGCTGCTCCCGGCCATTAGGTTTTTTATGTAGTTTTGAAATGTTCTATGTATTTATTTTATAATTAGAAGAAAAATTCTTAAGAAACAGTAAGTGAAAATTTCATTCCTAAAATTATATTTTAAATAGCTCAACGTAAAAAAAAACCAACATGCAAATACAAATTTATTTTAAAAAAGGCAACGCGTGCAAAGTTGACCAACCAGGACAAAAGCTACTGTTCAAACCTTCACTCAAAACCTGAAGCAGACATTCCAACCGTCCACCGCGGAACCCTCCCTTGAGCCCCAGGGCTGACCCTGCTCAGGCCCTAGCTAGCTGTCTCTGGCTGGTGCTTAGCTTCTGGAGCGCAGGCAGGTTAAGGGCACTTACTTGATCATCTGCGGCACCGTGACCTTGGAGTTTTCTTCAAATGCATTCATCATGAGTCCATTGCACCGGATATTATCTACACACTGGAAACAGAGGGGATCCGGGGCTCAGAACTCAATCCCTGTACCAGATCTCCGACCCACCTGAAACTCTCCCAGCCTGCACACAGGGTCCTCAGGCGTCAAGGACACTGTCCAGGCAAGGGCAATACTAACACACCATCATTCGAATCCTGGAAGTCAAGTGACCTGGAGGGACTGACTTGACCTTCTTGAGTCTGTTTCTCTGTCTTCCTAGATGGCTTTAACGACCCCTGCTTTACTTGGGTGTTTGCCAGGAGGATGCATCAGACTCTGGCCACTCCGCTGTATCCTTTGAGGCCAGTGTCAAGGATGAGGTTGCCCCACCATGCTCTGAGCTCTCTGGGAGGCTGCCTAGCAAGCCTCTGCAGCAGTGTGTATAGTAGTACATGTGTCCTCTGTGTAAATCGTCCCCTGACCCGCATACCAGCGCTGTGGTGCTGGAGGTGGTTTCTACATTCCCAGTCTATACATGGGGAGTGCATTTAGGAGGCAGGAGGACTGCACGTTTGAGACTAGCCTGGGCTACATAGTGAGGCTCAAACAAAAACAAAACCCAACCAAATATAGAAAATTAATCTCAGAGGAGGGGCTACCTCTTTTCACCTTCTGGATCTCTACCCTGGGCTTAACATTTCTGCTGTGGAGGGGACCCTCCTGGAACAAGGTTTTGGGGAGCTCCAAGCATATCACAGAATCTATAGCTCTGAGGTTGTGTGTGAGTGGAGGCCAGTGCTAAGGGCACGGAGAAGAGGAAGCCGTGAGACAGAGGGTGACAGGACTCCCAGGCTCAGTCCCTACGTCAAAACCGGGCCCCCAAAGGAGGATGCACACAGGGGGAGGTTTCTGCCATTTGTGTTTTCAGCCTGGTCTCTCCTCCATGCAGAGACTCTCTTTCTTGCCCATCCTGCCAGCAACTCCAGACAGAGTGCTGTGGAGACAGCTGAGGACCTCAGGAAGCTGCCAGGATGGCTTTTGAAGGGAAGGGACTGGGTGACCCCTACTCAGGGACATCAGCAATGCTGCTAAGGGCAAAGGTATCTGAACAGCCAGCACCTTTGATGGCTACCGCTCCCTGGGGGCAGGAAAAGGCTGGGTTTGAGTTCTCCATTTTTTCAGGGCATGCTGGCTTTTTTTTTTTTTTTTGGCGGGGAGGGGGTGAAACTCAGAAGAGTAGATTTACACTGTGTACAATCCCATACTGCCTTGGTTCTCAGTGGATCCGAGAGGAGCAGGTTGCCAGAAGGCCTAGCCACCCGACGTCCCCTCGACCAAGCAATGTTGATATCTGCAGCTTTATGGACTGCCTGGGCATTCAGTTCAATTCAGAGTTCCACAATATGAAAGTAAATCCTTGGTGTTTTACTATCACTCTTTATCTGGAATGTTCTTTCAGTTCTTTTTTTATTTTTTTTTTTCTTCAGTGCTGGAGGTCAAAGCGTGCTTTGAAGCAGAGCACAGAGGTAAGCAGGTAGGGAACTGGTGAGGGAGACTCTCTAGGCACACTGGGTACTCTGCCCTCCCCTCCTGAGGCACAGGGAGGAAAGCCAGCCATATCTGTCCCTTTCTGTTGCCAGCGGCTCTCCTAATACCCCCACGCAGCCCTGCAGAGAGGATGGCCACGGGCAGACACCCTGGGCCCTGGCTCCCACCTTTATGGTACTGCTCTTTGCCTTCTGGAGCACAAGCTAGGAGCAGCTGACAGCCTTGTTACTCAACTTCCCACCTCCTGTACTTCCAGTGCCCAAAGTCATGGGCTGCTGACTTTCCAGGAGAAGCCAAGGCTTCCTGCTTAATGGTGAAATAGGGGTGGGACAGGGGGACAACGACTGCTTGCAACAGGCAAAGGACAAAACTCCATCTTTCTCTGGCACATGATGCTGGCTTGGACTTCAGGAGCCTGCCCTGGTTCTCTGGACTAGGTGCTCAAGTGTCTCAGGGCTGTGAAGTTCTCTCCTCAAGCTCTGCCGTATCTAACGTTCTTGGATGGTAGGTACCACCAAGACATTTTGTGTGTGTGCATTTAAGCCCCTGGAGATCAGACTGAAGTGCCTGCCATTCACAAGTCTGGGGAGCAGGAAGTAGAGTCCGGCATGTTTAAGGGTTTAAAACCACATTGCAAATGGTATGTATTGGCTGACTCAATCTGGGCTGGGACCTGGTCTTCTCTAATAGAACCAGCCTGCTATGCCCTGCCCATCTAGGTCCCCCACAAGGTCAAGCATGAAGCAACAATGTGCTCCGAGAAACAGGCAGTGCTGCTCACCTGGCTGATGTCACTGGTCCACGCTGCCTTCTCCTGCCTGGATGAGGCCACCAGGATGACTGTGAAGGGTGGGGAATCCTTTGGCTCCACCCCGATCTTAAAATCCAAGTGGTCTATGTCCGGGGCAGTTCCTTTGGCTTTTTCCAGTGACAAAATATGAAGTTAGCAGGGTGAATGTGGGGCTTGTGAGCCAGGTAAGGATCTCAGGTCCCTGACTTAGACACAGAGGCTCAGCCACTGGCTGCCTCTTTTAGAGCCATGGTGTTTTATGATGTTTGGGTAGGTGAGAGTCACCATTTCAAACAGGGGAGAATGGAGAATCTGGCATACCCAAGTCATTTACAGGCACACAGATTCTTGATTACAAGTTACGGCTCTCACTGTAGCAATGGGGTCTGAGCCAGGACTCAGTAAAGACTCCTAGCAGGGAGGCAGCCATGCCAGGGTTAGATGGGGCTGCATAACCCAGCCCTTCTGCTAACACCTGGGGCAAGAAGCAACATTGACATCTAAACTTTTATAGACTGGGCTGAACATTAAGTTTGGTTTACAGCTCCCCACTGGGAAAGTAAGTCCCAGGTATTTTATTACTGATATTTAACTCTCGTTTTCTTTTCTCTTTTTGATGCTGGGGATCAAATTCAGGGCACCACACATGCTAGGCCCTGGAACTCTGGAGAGTTTACTGGAAAGAAGAAGTTCACCCGGTCAAGATCTCCTCTCTGGGGACACACAGTTGTGAGCTGTCTGCCCTGGTCTGAGTTGTTCTCTTGTCTTTTTGCATCTGAGTCAGGGTCTATCATCTGCTCTTCCTGCCAACCTTGATGAATGTGTGTATGTGTGTGCGTGCGTGTGTGTATATGTGTGTGTGTGTGTGCACAGAAATAAACCGCTTGTACACTGACCTTCCTCCTCTGCGTTTTCTGGTTCCTCCATTAAGGTGCAATCGATGAGCGATATGACTCCGTTCTGAAAAAGATCAGCAGGAGTTTGTGTGCTAGAGTAGGGGTCCCAGGACATCAGGGTTGGAAGGACATCGACACCAAGCAGTCACACATCCACATACGTGTGTGTAATCCACAGAAGTGACCGACATGAGATTTTCTCAGGGAGACCACCCTTAGTAAAGGTTATGGGCAGACGGGCCAGAATCTATCCTGTCTGGCTTGCTCTCATCACATCAGCAACTCTGACAATTACACCATACCCCTAAATCTATAAAACCTCGAAGTCCCCTGTTCTTGGGCAATCCCTCCTGTTAGCCATGGTGAAACAAGTCAACTTTATGGATCCATTATATGGATTGCTAACCCCATTTTATGGATTCGAAAATGAAGTCAGAGAAGTTAAGTGGTTGCTCAAGTCACCTGGTCAGCTCTTGGTGGGGTCCTGAGGAAGCCTCAGGTCTCTCGTCTCAGGCCCAGGCCAACAACTCATTTCCTATTATCAGAAATAAAGAAAGGGCACCTCTCCCTTTGACACCACCGAGAAGGGAACCTGTGGCCGAGTGGAAGCACAACCCCCTTCCTCTTAGGTATGGCTGGGCTGTGATCAGAGCACAATGAAAAGGCTTAGATGGCAGTGAAGGCATGTGGCGCTGGGGACCGCAGCCTCTGGCTCGCTCTCTGGCTCTCTCCTGGACCACCTGTCTCAAGGGAAGTGGGTGCCATGTGAACAGAGAAGAGCTGAGGCCTTTAGCCCACAGTTCCGTGAATGAACCACCTTGGTTGGGTGAGATTCTAGAACACTGTGACCTGGCAAACATTGCTATTGCAAACTTGAGCCCTGAGCCAAGACCACTTTGAAGTCGCTCCTGACCTCCTGACCCACAGCAACGGGCAGGCAGTAAGTGTTTGTCTTGCAATAACTGATGCTAATATAGACCCAGCCACATGACTGATCTATATATAAAAACACTGGGCAGGCTGCCCACTTTTTTGTTACGAAACTCAGAATTTATTTTTAACTACTTGCCTGGATTATGGTCTCGTGTTATATAGGCTGCCACTTGTGAGGAGAGCATTGGAGGGGATTCCCAGGCCCTGGGGTCTGCTTCTTGCTTCCTTCTTTAGTGATGTCGAGAAGTTCCCAGGACTTTTGAACAATAGCTTTGCCCTGTGATTTCACTGGGCTTACCAGTCCTAGAAGCCTCCCCGCCCCAGCCCAGCTCTGACATTCCCTTATTTATTTGCAGTGCTGAGGTTGGAACCCACAGCCTTCTGCACGCTAGGTCGGAGCTTTACCACCAAGCAACACCCCAGCTGGTACTCCCTTACTGGCTTGTTTTACTTCCTTTATCTGATCTGTGAACTGGGAAAGTGATAGTGTCAGAGGTATTCTAGGAATTGAATATGTGTAAAACACTTGGGGCAGGGACAGGCCACGGGAATCATTATTCGAGGCCTTGCTGTCAGTAATATGACAAACTCATTACCACAGGATTTACAATGACTGTTTAAGTTACTGAGAATGTATTGTACCAGGCACTGGGACTCCCTCAGCATTCCTGGGAGGAGCATAATAGGATTTCATATCTGTTATGCAGATGAGGAAACTGAGGCTTCGTGAGGTCACATGACTTGTCTGGGGTCTGCCTGGTACGCACACAGCAGTGCTCGGATCCTGTGTCCTTTTCTAGCAGCTATTCCTAAAAAAATATTATTTTAATTTGTGTGTATGTGTATGTGCATGCATGCATGTGTGTTTGTGTAACATGTGTGCAGCTGTTCAAGGAGGCCAGAGGGGGAAGTCAGATCTTTTGGAGCTGGGGTTACAAGCAGTACCGAGCCATCTGACGTGAGCACTGAGAGCCAAACTTGAGTTATCTGGAAGAGAGGCAGGGGCTCTTCACTGCTGAGTCCTCTCTCCAGCTCCCAGGCTAACCCTTTAAAACTCAAAAATAAATAAAAGGAAAACACCAACAACCTAAAATCATGAACTTCCAGCCTCAGACCCAGAAACTGCCGTAGCGTCTCCAGTGCAACCTGCCTGTGCTCACCCCTCGGCTGAGGAACGGGAGACCTGACCCTCCCGACCTGGACAGAGACATCCGGAGTGGAACTTGGCACTAACAATTACCGAAAGCTTCCCTTGACACACAATTTGGTTGGAACTGGAGTGTTTAATATTTGTAAATTAATTTCTCCATGTGCAGCCAACCTGCTAATTTGTTGACATGTTAACATAAGCAGGGTATTCCCCTGAAGCCAGCGGTTGATCTAATAGCTCGACGGGAGGTTACGGACCAGGCATCCAGGTCCCCAAAGGAAGGTTTCCCTGATGCTCTCACTTAATTAAGGGCACCTTCTGGGCCTTCCTTTCCAAGCTGCTGCCTGCTCACATTTGAAATCCCATCTGCTCACACAGGATGGACAGAGTATGGGGAGAGATGGCAGCATAGAGAGACAAGGTCTTGTAACCAGCGTAGCAAATTCATAGGCCCTGTCAGCTCACTGCCAGACCCTCCATGCAGTGTTTCTGTGGGGACAGTTATCTTTATTTGACTGATGAAATGTACACAGGACAAGGACATTTGCAGGGTCACATGTGTGACAGAGTTGGGGCCTGTTGGGGTTCAGAGCAATGGGACCAGCAGTGAGTTGTGTTAGGGAGCAGTATTTTGGTTTGAGCCCCAGGCATCACAGCAGAGCTGCATTTGAGTTGTCTCAGGGACATGAAGGAGGCTCGCCTCAGAAGAGGGCAGCCGGCTGTGCAGTTGAGTACACAGCAGGAGCAAAACCCTGGGCTCAGAGATGCTTCTTCCCCTCTACCCACTGGGATGAGTCAGGCCACTGAGCTTGTGCTACAAGAGGGCACATGAGGTGACAACAGTTCAGCAGCCTCCCAGGGTCACCTGACCTAAGGAAGCCTTCCTGGGATAGAGGAGTGGGTGTCTGAGAATCTTTGCCTGGAGACGACAGAGAAAGATGTTATGTGTTGCTCTAATTCTAGGTTGCAGGGGAACCTCCACTCTCCCCAACCCTCCTGTCCATACACCACATACAGAGTCCCTCCCCGACACACTCACACATATTTGCACAATCATATGCTCACACTTGTGTCTCGAAGGGCTCGTTGGAACTCCTGACCAGTTGTGGGAGTCTCTGGGGTCTGACGCCACCTTCCCAGTTTCCATGATTTCTCCAGTAGAAGACATCAGGGGATGTTCTGCTCCTTCCCACCCTTGACTCAACCACGGTGTGTATGTGTGTGTGTGTGTGTGTGTGTGTTTGTGCACAGGCGTGTGCTCATGTACTCACAAAGTCCCACCTAAGCTCCTCAGTGGCCTCTTGTACATTCAGCCCCAGCTCTGCAGTGAGGGCGCAGCCAGTGTGCCTGAGCCCTAGGCCTTGATCTCCTCTCCATGACCTTACCTTGGTCAGGTGCAGTTTCCCTCCGGAGCCTCTGGTGCAGATGATGAGGTGCTTGGAGAACAGGAAGCACTGCCGCTCCCCCTCTTTCTTAAGGGACAGGGATCCCAGGCGCCCCCTGGTGATCTTGCCCTTTTCTGACATGGGCACCTGGATGAGGGAACCTGAGGGAGCAGGGGTGGTGGTGAGGACGCTCTGACCCTACCCTCAGATGACACCAATGATGCCGACCCCCTGGCTCAGCCTTGAAGGTTGAGGAGCAGGCATGGGACAAGGTAGTTGAAATGCCCTGGTCACTCCTCCCAGCCCAGTCTCAGAGCCAGTGGGAATAAGGAGAGCCCTATAGAGGACCCTACAACCTCCCGACCAGGGAACAGGGTCTTGGCAAGCAGAGGAGCTCTAAAAGAAAGGGAGAGCCGAGCTGAAGTCTGGAAATGGCACTGAACAACTAAGCTGAACAAAAGGGGAGCTGGAGGTGCGTTCTCGTGTATTAACATGGTACATTGCATAGCGCTGGCCGCAGCAGATAGCACCAATTAATCACTGCACTTAGCTTCTGAGCCCAGACTGAGCATGTGATCCTTGGTGTGTTGCAGTAGAAAGCCATTGCTGGATTGAGTAGGCGGCTGTCTCTACTCTGGTGGTCTCATGCATCATGTGCTCTACAGGTTCCTTCCCCATTGTCTTCACTGTGTCCTCAGGGATTGGGTACTCAAGGTCCATCAGCATGGATTGGATTGGGCTCAGCTCTCAGCTCCTCTCTTCTCTGTCGCTAGCTCTCTCCCCGATAGCAAATGTCATCCTAGACCACACTGCCTAGCTTCTTTCAGAAAGCCCCCTTCTTTGACTCCCTTATCCTGTTCTGTGTCTACTGCATCTTGAATGCCCATTAGTGACAGATCTTCTCCTGCAGGGTGAGGCTGGCTTCATCCTGGGGGACCTTAGAGCCCTATGGAGACCTGGTGTGCATAGGGAAGATGTCAGAAATGGCTATGTGGCTAAAAAGTGGGAAGGGCTGGGAGGGGCTCCAGGTCCTGCTTCAGGATGGAGGAGGAAGAGCTTCTCTTGGGTGATGGAGCAGCTTCCGGGTCTGTGGGGGGACTGCCCACCCCAGGAGGGGCTTCCTTCTAGGGTTTTCTTCAGAAAGGCAGGAAGAAGCTACATGAGAACGCTTCTGGTATAGAACATGTCTAGTGCAGCTCAGGGAGACAGAGACAAAGCTGACTCTGGGCTTCAAGTGTCACAGGTGGGTCCTTGGGGACCACATGCAGGCACCGTCCTTGAAACACAATGAATATCAGACCCTCCCCTGATTCTGAGGTCAAATTCTGAGGTACAGACCAGTGTAAACCTCTCACGAGGTTATTTACTAGTTAGAGACTCCAGAGCTGGGAAGAGGGGATGCTGGACACCTATCCTGGGGCAGACATCCATGTGAGGCACACTAACAGTGATGCATTTCCCACAGAACTCAAGAGCTGCAGGAGGTGACCTTCAAATGCATCACAGCCTTGACGTCTCTGAGCCACCAGAAGCTCAACAGGGCCACACCTTCCAGACCCACTCTCAAGGGAAGCAGGAGCCAGAGGTGAGAAGACTTTCTTCAGTGAGATCCGCTGAGCGCAGCCTCCCTCCCATTGCCTCCCAACACTTGCCATTCCCAGGACCGATCACTATCTGTCCTCGTCCTGTCTCCCACTTTCTCCCCAAAGGAACAGACCAGTGCTGACAACCAAAAGCCCGAGGCTAATCTAGGCAGTAGACTCATATTTGGCATGAGGGAAACTGTGGAAAACAATCATATCTACGTGTGTGTGTGTGTGTGTGTGTCTAGACAGAGTCTGCCTCCATGTATAACTATTGCACTCCCAGCAGACCAGAACACTCCACAGTCACAGCTGCAAGCCAGTCTGCTGGGGATGCTCCCAAGTGCTGCCCTTCTTCCAGGGACTCCGCAGAGGGCATGCAGAGCAGGTGCCCTACCTTGCCGCACGAAGGTCTGGCTGGTATCCAGGAGGATTTCACAGCCCTCGATGATCATGCGCTCGATGGCCAGGTTCTTCCGGATGTTCTCTGTCTCGCTGACTTCATCGTGCATGATCCTGGGGAGACAGGAAATAAGAGGCGTGCTGTCCCACTACCAGGGAGGGGAAGGCTGCATTCTCCCTTGGGGTGGGACCCGTAGTTTGGAAGGTGAAGGCGATGCGATTCTATTGAGTGCCAGTTGTATGCAAGATACTTCCCAGGCCCCATCTGGTTTAATCCCCTGGCAGCCCAAGGAGCCGGGTGCTTATTTTAGAAGAACTGACATGGAAATTGGCAGCTGGGAAGCAGGCCAGTCATATCTCAGTGTTGAACCTTGTAGGATAGACAGCAGGTCCAGCCCAGGACGAGGTGTGAGCCCAGGACACCCTTGCTTGTTATTTAGGTCTCATTTTACATGATTCTCATCCATAGATCAGGCAAAGTCCATTTCCCTTGTATTCTTTTCCTCAGGCTGCCCTTCTCCCCCCTTGCTGGAATTTGAACTCAGGGTCTTGAGGATGCTAGTCAAGTGCTCTACCACTAAGTTACACCCTAGATCTTTCTCCCATATCTTTGTATGGATGCGCTTTTAATGTTGCATGGGCCTTAGAATGACCTGAGATTTTGGAGCTCCTGCCAATTCTGTTGGCTCAGGGAAAAGGCTGGCCTCCACCTTCTAACTCAGCCTTCTTGGAGGAAAAGAATTTGTTCCTTTCTGTCTTCTGCAACTTCCATAGTCTCCAGGAGATGGCGCCATTTAATTACTTTGAAAAAAATATTGCCGCGTGGTGGCGAGGGGGGAGATGGGGGGGAGGGAGTGTGTTCTTTGGCAATTTTGCCCTGCTGGGTTTCCAGGCTTTTAACGAATACTTTTGGGAAAGGGGGAGCTCTGGAAAATACCCTACTCATTTCAAGAAGATCACATCTTATGCCTTTCTGTTGATTTCTAAAATTCTACAGCCAATGTCACCAAGAGGACTGGTGACCATGTATGGTTCAAGCTCAGGGAAGCAGGCTCTGCTTGGGTGGGTCATAAGATGAGAAAATCACTCAAGCCTCGCGCCAGTGATACTCAGTTCCCCGTGTGCAGATTTCTGGGGAAGAGGTGGCCATCAGCATTCCGGTTTATTTTCTTCCTGGTTGAGGACTACCATTTTAGCTCAAACTCTCCGGGACATCTAGATGGCCACTAGTCTCTAGTAGTCTCAGTTTCCCCCTTTCCTTCTCAGAAATGCGTGTCTCTTAGATGCCCAGTTCCTGTTTGAGAAGTGGCCAGTGGCAGAGAGAAGGTTTCTCATTTCTCAGCTTTGCTGAGCAATGCTTGACTCTGAAGGGCCCAAAGGGGCAACTCCACAATGGCAGGCAGATTTGACAAGAGTAGCCCATAACTGGTAAGGACACGTTCTGCTTCAGATCGAGTTGGGGTTCCCTGTGCACACACAGCTAGAAGGCTCTCTGAGAAGCCTCGAGGGACTGGAAGTGATGGACTGTGTTATCAGTGGTGTTACAGTGGTTGAAGATAAAACAGCAAAACGGAGGTCTGGTCCTTAGAGAGTGTGTGGCTTGGGGTTGCGGTGAACCGCTGGTGTCAGCAGAAGGGGATGTATTTCCTAGTCCAGATAGGCAGAGCTTGGATATCTGATGGTTTCTGTCCTGCCAGGACACTGCCATCAGCATTCTGTGGAGGGAGGGTGAGAGAACACTCCAGTGTGCCCTTAGGGCTGGGCTCAGGTGAGGGTTCAGGTAGTAGGTGGAAAAAGGAAGGGTAGGATGCATACCTAGGTCTTAGACCAATGACCTTTGCCTCTCAGGCCATCTGCAGCCCTATTTGCTCCAGGACCTGCATCTCTCAATGATGAAGAACCTCAGGGCTTTTTTTCCCTTGGGGAGGGAGGAGATGTAGGATTTGGTTCTTGAACATGAAAGATACAGAGAGCAGGTCCCTTTCTCTCTGCCTCTGGCTCTGCACCTCCTCAGTCACACCTGGATACGGTGTCTACTCTGGTCCTCCTTCATGCCTCAATAACTCAGCTGGGGCTCAGAAGGATCAGGCTAGGCAGCCTGTCCCCTGCCTGTCTCCTGCCTGTCCTACTGCCTAGCTTGGAGTTAAGACCCGCCTGACTAGCTTTTGCTGGCTTCAGGAAGCTGAGCCTCCCTGCGCCTCATCCGTAGTCTCCTATGTATGACTCCAGGGCCCATCTCATATTGTGACCTCCACCCAGGCTCAATCCTAGGCTCTGGTGTCTTCCTGCTTGAAGTCACTCCTGAGCCAATCTCAGGGGATGCCACTGAACTGGTGATGGCTCTCAATTCCAGACTCTAGAGCCCTTTTTTCTGGTCTCTTTCACTTGGGTATTTAATGGCCCACATGATCCCCAGGGAAGCTCTGGACCGTCTAATATACCCCGTCTTGGTTAAGGCCCCACAGATCACTAGTTTTTCTCATTCTCCCACCCAGTCCATTGAGAGGTCCTACTAGCTCTGCCTTTGGGATCCAGTTCTGATCTGGATCACTTCCCACCTCCTCAGAACCTTGAGGAAGTATGAAAAGGCTCCCCCTCCTCTGGTTGCTCTTGCAGAGGAAGACCCCGCCCCCAGACTATAGGACAGAAAGAGGGCCAGGTGAGGAGTCTGAACTAGAGGACTAGAGTGTCCTGGCACATGAAGGCTAGCCACCTGGAATCCCATCCTTGGGGAGCCCTTATCATCACAATTTTTGCTTGATGTTTTGAGACAGGGGATCATGGATTTTAGGGTAGCCTTGAAATTTGGACTTCTGGTCCTCCTGTCTCCATTTCGAAAGTGCTGGAGTTAACAAGTTAACATGCCTGGTTTTATGTAGTACTGGACACTGATCACAAAGCTTCATGCATGCTGGGCAAGCACTTCGTCCACTAAGCTATGTCTCCAACCTTGTTTTCTTTTTTAAAATTTTATTTATTTATTACGTACGGTGTTTTGACTGCGTGCCACCATATGGTTGTTGGGAACTGAACTCAGGACCTCTGTAAGAGCAGTTGGTGCTCTTGACTTCTGAGTCATCTCTCCAGCCCCCAGCCTTGTTTTTGTTTGCAGGGGACCCCCTTCATCGAAGAGAGGTAGGTTACGCCTTCCTTCGGATCCCCTCTTGAGGAAATTTTCAGCCCTGCCCTGCCCACCCTCTGCCCTGTGGCTAGGCACTCACCTGGAAAGTTCCTCTAGTTTGGATTTGGCATAGTCCAGGCTGTTGCGCTCCACATGCTCATGAGGTGTGTGGGCCAGCAGCTCATGGAGTGTCAAGATGTACCTGGGGATCTGTGAGTGGCGGGGGACATGGAGGGACAGAGCCAGAGAGATGACGAATGGGTGGAAAGACAGAAAGGAACAGAGAGCCGAGGAAGGCCAGGACAAAGAGGGAGAGATAGGGATGGTAGACAAGAAAGGTGGGGTAATGAGGGAGAGGGACAGAAGGCAAGACAGAGAGGCAAGAATGGTCCTTTGAACCCAGTGGGCCAAGGAGGAAAGCCGGATGCATTTCTGATCTGCCTGGATAGCCAGGAAGATTAGGGACCCCCACGGTTCTGTCTCCAGGGACTACCCCCTCACCTTCCCCACTGCTGGAGTGGACAAGTACATAGGTGGTCAGCTTGTTCTCCACATGCCAGGGTGGTTGGGGACTGTGTCCTGCCAGCTGAGCCCTCAGTGCCCCCGCCCTAGCCTGCTCCCTTGAAGATCATGGCAGCCACCTGGAACATAGGGTAGGTGAGGAAGGTCTCCAGCGTGCGCTCTTCGCAGTCTGGCTTGGCCTCGTATTGCTTGAGAAGCTTGTCAAAGTCCCGGTTCTGTTTGCAGTGCGCTAGGATCTGGAGGCTGTACTGGTGGTTGCGGACGAACTCCTGGTAGATGTTGAGCATGGGCAGCAGGATGTCGAACAGGTCGGCTGCAGGGCAGGTGGGGTCAGCTGGCCAGAGGGATCCTGGGGCCAGATGTCCCCAGGCCTTTGGCCTATTGGCCTACCCAGAGAGGCTGTGAGCTGGGTTCAAATCCCCACTCCAGAGAGATCCCTCTTTGGGGATTACACTGATACACCAACTTTATCCATGAGCAGAAGAGGTTCAGAGATGTGAGCTGTCTTGTGACTGAATGGGCTTAGAGAGTCAGTATAGAGTCCCCTACCCTAGGGCTGTGGCTCCCAGGGGGCCTGCTCCAACTGAAGAGAACAGTCTAGTGTAGATCACACCTTATCTCATTATGCGTCCATGTGCCCAGCCCCTGCTTCAACCCAAGTGTCTCTGTAAGAGGCAGGGTGTGTGTGTGTGTGTGTACACGTGTGTGTGAGCACATGTGGTGTACCTCT